TTATATTCCCCCCTTTTTTTTCTCATAAAATGTACCATTTCCACCTAGTTGTTCACTGCTTTCCACTTTACCAATGGTCTATGACATCCTAATGATAATTGGGATTCCACTTTGCATCTGTTACGGGGCGTGATAGTCAACACTTAATACGAGCAGAGTGTGATAATTACATGTAGAACAGTGTCAAGATAGACGTTTCAGCTGATGAAATGACTCTGTATATTGAGATGGTTCACAGCAACATGAATTCTTTTATGTGCCCTTTTAAAGAAGTACCTCTTATTTAATAGTGTTTAATATTTTTTGGTGTGCATTAGCTCCCTTTTTGTAAGTTTATCCTAAGTTCACGGATATTCTGATTGAAAGCTGAGCTTGACAAGATCCAACACCATTATGAAGGCCCTTGGTGATACTCCACAATGAATGTTGGCATAGTTTCAATTCCATGTCAGGTATTCTAGTGATTTTACATATTTGCATCTAGAACCTGTTTTAATCTTTTGTCTAACCTCAGCTTGCCGTTGTACTCATATGTGTAATATGTTTTATATCATATTATCAGTTATTCCTGATCTTAAACGGATGCAGTATCCAATCACCAATTTTTGGCAATTTGCTTCCCGGTTCTCTGGTTACACAGCTTACAATTTGAAGGTATTTTGGGGATGTTATAATTTTCATGCTAGATTATTTTGGAAAATTTTTGTATGTTCTTATGATTTCTAATTTAAGTGCAGGTAGATTAATGAAGCAACTGGAGTGGTTGACAAACAGTTAGTCTCAACGATTATCTTATAAAGGATGGTCTTAGTTGAACTCCATTTAAGTTATTCTTATATATGCGCATTGTATATATTTGACTGGGAACACCAATTGATTAGCACGATGATTTATATGTTTTATTTTGACAACCTAGCATATCACTGCATTATGGGTATAGATTCCTTAATGCTGGCATATGGTATTTCACCATGTATAGTAACTTAACCCGTGTACTTAGTGTATACCTTTAACTTTAATTTCAGTCTGAAACTAATATTATTAATTTTCCTTTTAGCATAATAGAATTTAGAACACTTTTATGGAATAGTGAGTACTTCCATCATAACATTTAACGAATATTTTTTGCTCCACCTGCAAACATCAACAATGTGCTATCTAGTTAGATAATGGAACTTGTATCTTTTGAAGAGTGGTTTAAGAGCATACTTGCTAACCTATGTAACCATTCTTTCTTTCCACGATGTGTTGATACTTTTGTATTAATCACTCACAAAGGTTTTGGAAGTTGAATTGAAACTGGATGGATGTCGATTGAACCAATTGGGCATAAAGCTAGTCAACTAACCTTATTAGATTTGTTTTGACAGTATCATTCTTCATCTCCTACACCTTGGTTCTTTAATGATTGCTATAAATATGGGAGTTCTAATTTTGCTAATATAGGATATGTCCCAACCCCCACTTTCCTTCACATTAGTGCATTTGAGACTGTATTGTGGGCTGATTAAGTTCTATGCGTCTGTATCTTGGCCAAGCACGGCCATGTAATTTAATTTTAATCCGTGCAATATAATGTAACAAAGACCACCCTAAGGCCCTTCGAAAGCTATGTATGTCTAAATTAGTAATGTTCAAAAGTGTACAAGAGTCTAACATCATCTTGTCCCTTATACGACAATTGATGTGCATCAGCCTGTTCTTCTTATTAGTTTTCTGACTCTATGCATGTACGTTAATACTATAATTGTTCTTGTAGGTTCTATGTGCGTTGAGTTACCATTTTTGGTCGTTACATGTATTTGTAATGGTCCTTGAAAAAGTTTGGTAAACATAGTTGGACGATTATGATGTGTTGACCTTAGTGGCCGCTTGCAAGTGACAAATTGGGTTATGGATGGTATGTGTCTTTATCTTACTGTTCATTTTTTTTTTTTTTTTTTTTGGATCTTTCTTGCAAGGACAAAAGTAATGTATTCTTTTATTACAAAGCCTAATATATCTAGTGAACAGTAACATATAAAGCCTTAGTGCTATCTAGTACTGGTATCTCATATTTAGGTTGTGGCCGTAATTTCAAGGATGTAGACAGTGGTTGATGTGAAATTCTTGTCACTGCATTACTTTGTAGCTTTGTTTTTATTTTCTTGCTAAAAAGAAAAAACTTCGACTTTTTAGATTTGACTCATCTCTGGGAACAATCTTTAGATTTTTTGCTTCTTGTGATAATCTAACTGTTATGACAAGTTAAAGTTTAATACGTTAATTGTACAAAGGAAACTTTTAGAATTCTGAGAACATATCATGAACCAGTTAATTTTCAATCGTTATTGTATCATGGATTTAGTTTTGTCTAGTGTTGCCATTCTAACATTTCCTTGCCTTGCATATCATTTCTATTTTAAATGATAATGGAGTCATTTTCAATCAAAGTATTTCGAACTCAAAAGGGAACTTCGATTTTATCTGGGTTAGGTGCTTACTTTTTGCACACTCCCTTTGGCTTGATTATTGTGAAGTGTTAAATGTCATTTTTCTAATTGTGTATAGAATCAGGTGCCGAATGTTGTCTTTGGTTTCCTCACTTGAAATATAGTTTTTGAGGTTGTTGATTGCAATGGTGATGCGTGCAAGTATCCATGAAAGTATGAAAGTGGCCAATCCCACACACTCACGATAAGGTTATACATCTATGGGCACTGAAGATTCAGTTTGTATGCTTTAGGCAGGGCCACTGCACTGGTCTCCTGCTTATGCCCCTTCCTTCATGTGGGTATGCTTGTTGCTTTGTAGCTGTGCATTCTCGTTACATAGAGCTACGTCTAGCATCAAGGTTTGCAACAAATTTTATGTTAGTGTTAATACTATATGTTTTTTTCTATTATGAATGGTTAGAAAAATAAAACCTAAACGACATCGGGACATAGTAGAGTCTTCAAATCCACCAAACACCTTAGCAACTTCTTTAAGTTGAGATGTCATTGATAAGAGCTTGAAAATAACATGTTAGTTAGTGGCTTATGGGGATTATGTGCTGGAAAGTTAGCTACTTTGTAATTTTTTTTTAATATTTTCATAATATCTTTTACGGATTCACGGTGTTTTTGAGTGTTTTTTTAGGTCTACTAGGCTGATAAATGTTAGCTTAGATGAAGAATCGTCGGCAATAGAAAGTTAATGAGTAGAAAGAAACGGATCAAGAATTGAATGTGAATTGACAAAGTTTATGGGCAGGTTTGAAGTCAAAGAACGATATGAATTCGCTCAGCGTGAGCATACCTGTGTCCCCCCCCCCCCCCCCCCTTTTTTGAAAATATCCTCGAGTGTAGAACCTCGGATTAAGAGCATTTGGACTCCTTGGAAAGCTGATTCAAAGTGCTACATTCATATCTTTCCACTTTGCCAGATTCAACATTATCATGCTCAAACATCACCATATTTAAGATTGCATTCTGGGGCAGAATCACCTATGCCTAGCACGTGCCGTAGCACAACTGTGATTTCTGGAATTTTCTCTATTAATTTATGATGTGTTTTCCTTTGGTACGACTCTAAAGTGATTAGATAGTGGTAATTCTGTTGTGAACCTACCGTTTTATGACTTCATTCCATCCCAAATATACACATCAGAGTATTCAACCATTAATTGTAAACCTCCTAAAAACCGTTCAAACCTCAACGTAGATATCCATGGACAAGTTCAAATTGACTTCATGTATAAACTTCCTCTCACACTAGAATTCAATTACAAACAATGAAAAAAATGGACTAATACGCTGATTTGGGCGAGGGCCACTACCCTCCCTTTTTACTAACTTCTCTCTTGTGCCTTTTCAACCTCTGCTGCTCCCTTTATTTCTTTCCTTCCCTACCAGAATTCAACCTCAGCCACTTATCGTGTCCACCTGTCCACTCCACCTTTTTCTTCTCTTCACATTTAGCTGCTCCCTTTTATACAATTGATTCTTTGTGCTTCTTCCCACGCCTCTTATTAAAACCCTCACTTCACGTGTTGTATCAGAATCATAACCCTAAAACCTAGGAGTATAAATATATGTTTTTATGCTGATTATTGGGGGAGGATAAGAAAGGAAAACCTGTAGAGAAGAAAAGTGACAGAAGTTCTGAGCTTGATTCACATATAGAGAAGTTTTTCTTATCCTTTCTTATTAACTCATGATGATTGTTTTAATAAAGATATTGTTCTTTCATGTTTATTATGAACTAATTTATTGTCTAGGACTAACGATGTAGCCCAATCTCTTGATTATGTGTTGATTTAATGCTTTTTAATTTTTTATAAGAATTCTTCATAATTTTACTATTATACCTAATGCTTTTGATTCTTAGGGCCCTTGAATTGAATGAATTAATGGACTAGGTTGAGATCGAAGAGATATACTTGGTCTACGTAGTAAAATCATGGTTTGAGCGAACGCTAGAGATAGGTTACCGCGTCCTTTTAGGTTCTGGTAACCTCCATAGAGTGTATGATCTTTAATTGCTTAAAACTGAATAGAGATAATCGATTAATAATTAGGGGTTTAATTCGATAATTGTTCAGAGAAATTTATTAGAATTTAGGAGTTTGACTGTAGAAGAGCTTAATAATTAGTATAATTTCGATACATATGAATAAAATTTGGTGTGGTGTATGCCCTAGGTCTAGTCATCTTGTTTTAACCCACAGGTTTGTTTAATTGTTTCTTTTTTAATTTCAATTGTTAATTTTATTTGATTTAGATTTTCCTTGATACAATTTGGATTGATCAAATGTATAGGATAGTTCAATTGGTTAATTGATAATAGTAATTCCTTTGGTTCATATACCGTATTTTTACACATTATTACTTGCATGGATTCGTACCTTGCGAAAATCTACAACAGTTGTGTCCACTGTTGGGTGTCTATCCTTCGAGCTTAGCTTTAGTATTAACACTTTATGATTATCATTTTTTAGTCACGATACTACATTGTTAACTATTGGTTTGCACATGTAGGTTCCTCTTTTGCAAAGTCCAAAAACGAGTCCAGTGAGATCCCTCATATTCTGGGAAAGTTACAATTTCTCTAGAGGGCTCAACTCCCTCAAATATGTTGGAAACCTTGCGGTATCCATCATAAAGACTGAGAAGCTATTTGTGTCAAATTCCATCTCTACATTATTCTAAGATGTACATGCATTTTTGATGCTAGAATAGATGCTTCATTTGTCTTTGATTTATATGTTCAGTAGGGATTCTTTTCACTTGTTCTCAATGCCTCGGATCAAGAAGACTTGACTTTTCCAAATTTCAGAAGAACTTTTCCTACTGTTTTGAGTTTCAGTGTCCCTAGCTATTTTTGTCATGTGCCAAATGTGGTGATGCTGATTACTATTGATGGTTTTAGTCTGAGCTTTGTTGTTTGGACTGCTTTTGTTGCTGAACTTCAGCATGTAATTACAAATATGGTTCTAAATTTGTAAATGCTTTTTGATGGTGAATTATTTCTATTGTACATGTTTCTATTATGCCAATTACATTTTTTATGCTGAATAGGTGCTTCATTGCCTTTGATTAGTTGTTTAGCTAGAGATTCTTTTCCACTTGTTTTGAATGCCCTTCAAAGAAGCCTTGATTTTTCCATATTCATTCGTGTAAAAAACTTTTCCTACTGTTTTTTGTGTTTTCATTGCCCCCATTAGTGTTCAACATTAACTACTTCGCTGAGTGTTTGTCACGTGCCAATGTTGTTTTGTTGTTGGCTTGCTTTTGTTGCGGAACTTGAGAGTGAAATTTGCAAATATGGATTGCGTAAAGAATCTATGAAATGGCATTGAATTTGTTTGATCAACGACAGAATTGAGCACAGTCTTGTCTCAATTGCAAGGTTTTGACTGACATAATTTTCTTTCTCATTCATTAAAAAAATATGAAAATGATCCTACTCAGTATGCATGATGAAGTCAAGATTTGGTGTAGATGATAAATTTCACAAATTATTTCTGTTTTTAAGAAAATTTTATGACCCAAGACCTTTAATGTAAACACACACTAGCTATTATTGTGCACTCTTTATTAAGTTCAAGATCCAAAATGGTAATTTTGCTCATTTGGTGATAAGATTCACAATTTTAGCACAGTCATTTAAAGATGTCACTACTAATTTGGTTTATTTTGTCATATAATCTTTGGAATCATGGAAACTGTTACTGTTTTTCAGATTTGAAACCTTTTTTGTCCATTCTACTTATTTGTAGCGGTTAAAATATTTGTTTGTGTCAGATTAATTGGTACCTATTTTACCTTGTTCACATCTTAATGGTTCAAGCTGCTTGAGTGTGGGACATTGTGTGTTTTGGGTCCTGTCATAGGTGTTAAACGTTTAGGACATAGTGGACACCCAAATTGAGGATCACAAGTTTCTTTGTTACATTTTTGTCATTCTTTGCCATGCCACCAGCAGGTGGTCCATTACAACATTGATGAAATAATAATATTTGTTCGAGAAAAGTTAAGTTCTAAGGCAGTACTACTTTTAATAGTGGTACCTGTCTGTGTCCATGACTTAATTGTATGAGGTACAAAAACATTTTCCTATGATTATGTGGCAATTAAACTCTCTACGACTTGGCAATTTGCAGAATATTTGTGGTACGCAAAAAGTTGTTTGGCATGATACTAAGCTATTTGGAGTTCTATGTTGAAATTATTTAACTCTTTTTCCACATGAATAAACTTTTGAAAAAAAGAATAATAGTCTAATTTTAATGTTCATGTTCATGTAAAAATCAAGGAGTTTAGAAATTTGGTTTTATTTTTCTACTTGCTACTTAAATTAAAGTACTACCTTCATGTATTTTATCATGTGGCGCCAACACAATGCAGTGGACAACTAAAATGGATATGTTTGTTGATTTGTTTACCAGCTTTAACTGAACCTCACATTTTGACTGATCCATCTCCTCGCTTACAAATAAGGAATACAAGACAGATTGAAGGCGGGGGTCAATCAGCCGCTGCTGTTCTCTGTTGTGTTGGTAAGGATTTTCCACTCCACGAATCAAGGACTGGTTTCATTGAAGATGTTGTCTCCTTGTAGCACTTATTGAAGAAGCTGGACCAGCGTATCATTATGTTATTTTCTTCAAATTTCTTAATTGAAATGACTACTTTTCCATTAGTCTTTTCTGTGGTTTAAATCTCTGGTTTATCAATCTTTAACATGTTAGCGGAGTACTTGGGTAAAGATCACATGCGTGTTTTGGTCTGTAGGTCCTTTGAGCACTTCGCTCTTGAGAGTAATGAACAAAATGAAGTTAATTGTACACTTGGACTACATGGAAAAGCACTGAACGTGGAAAGTCTAATAGTTGGCCGATTTCTTGTTATATGCCTTGAGGATATGAGTGCTATATACAGTGTCCTGATTTCATTTAGAATGTATATCTTGTTTTTGATTGTTGATTTGAGTTAATATTGTTGATTTTTAGGTGGTGTTGATTTAGATTGAGATTTATTGTTGCTAGGTTTGATTTTTTATAATGTTGCGTCGACGGTGGTGGTATTTAGGCAGATCTCACCGGAGTTGGATGGTGATTGGAGCCGGGCTTGGAGAAGAGAAGGGGTTTAGAGAGAGAGAGTGGATTTGAAGGAAGTAAATGGTATTTTCGTCTAGCTCAGCTACCTCATAACATTCTTCCTTATTCTTTTTCTGCAACTCATTTAAAAAAAAAAAAAAAAAAAAAAAAAAATAATTGTGAACGTACAGCCTTGCCTATTCAGCAACCAGCAAGCATGCTCCAACAAAACCCAAAGTTCACAAGAAGTATGCTACTACTTTGATTAAGGAGCACGGAGCCGAATTTTATGTTCTTTGACGCTGTGCCACCAAGGGTGTTCAAAGTGTTAACCACTTTCTGAGCCGAACCGGATTTCGGTTTGAAAATTTCCAAACCAAAATTGAATCGGTTTGGGGAAAACCGTTTTTTTTTCTTTTTAAGCGATTAAATCGTTTTGAACTGGTTTTCCCTTTTTTTTATTGGATAAAACTTTTTTTTTAAATTTTTTTTTTTAAATTAAATTGTAAACATAATAATACATATCCAAATTAAAAATTAAACATTCATTGGTCACTATTAACAATTTTTTTTAGAGATTAGTTTAAATTATTATTATTTTTATTAATATTATATATTTATTTTATATTTATATTTTATTTAATATATATTAAATTGGTTTTGATTTTTGTGTTCCCCCAACTCTACCTCCCAAACTTAAAAACTGCATAATTTTGTCCATAAGCAAGTGTTTTAGGATAACCACTCAATGAGTTGCTGAGGAAATGTCCCCGAACAGTCATAAAATGTCTACAACTCTCAGAAAATTATGCTGAATTCAAGAGATTTCATACTTTAATTTTGAATCAATCCATAAGGCTGAGTAGCATTCATGGTGACATAGCATGGATATATACAGTCATCTAGATACTCATCTCCATAGTATCATCAATGTTGTCTTCTCTCAATGAACATTTTTCAATTATATTTGCCCAGCACTTTTGACGATCCTGGCTCAGAAAGGATTTTTCGTAAATGCATATGCAAATGACTTATGTAGCATGAGTTTGGATGAGGGAGATAACTCCATGGAAATAACAGAAGATGGAGAAGGTTGTCCTTCCTTGAATGTTTTATTTCCTGAGGCCATCAAAGGCCCACTGCTTTCGTCGGACAGCCAAGTCCAAATCAACACATTAGATTTGATCTTCCATTTTTTGTCCTTGGAAGGTGCTCTGGGCAAACAGATCCAAGTTTTGGTGGAAGAAAACATTGCAGACTATGTTTTTGAAATACTATGATTGTCAGGTGAGTGTACTTTCATAATTGAAAATAGCAAGAGCTACCATTAGTTTGACTGTTTGGGTATTTTATCAATATCTGACTATTTGTGCTGCCTTCAAGAAGAGAAAATTATCTCTATTACAATCTAGATTTTATCGAGTTTGATAAATTCTACATTTGTTTAGACAACTTACGTTTGTTTTTTCTGTCTCAAATTTATTTATTTCTTTACTGAAGCACAAAGTTAGAGTTCTTTCACAGCTAGCTGTAGTTTGGAGCTGATTAAGTTCTACTGCACAAAAAACCTATAATTAATATTTTTATTTATGATAGAATATTTTAAAAGCCCAGATTATCTGAACTCACTTCTTCCACCTTCTCTAGCATCTTCCAAAATTAAGAGTCCGCTGCCCCCACGCCCGCCCAATCCACTCAAGCGCAAGCTCGCTACTCATACACTTCCTGAGAACGTAATGGTTGGGGTCCCCGACTCGGGTGTTCAAGTAATTGTTTTGATCTTCTTCTTTTTAGTGGTTATTTGATATTATCTTTTTTAAATTTTGACAGAATTTGGGGAAAAAGTGACTCAAGCTTGAGAAAATGTAACTTTTAAAGTTTTGTCTAGCTTCTGTTTTTTTTACTGAGAGGAAAAGCGAGAAATTGTTGAGTTTCTTTCTTTTGTTCTGTATTAGAAGAGAGAGAGAAATGTCGTCATTCTTTTGTTGAGGTTTTGTGACTGGACAGTATCCCTTTTAGTCTTCTGAAATTTAATGTTGCATGCCCTAATATATCCAAATATTATTGCAGGTTTACAATGAACAAATCACAAATTTGTTGGATCCAAGCCAAAGAAATCTTCGGGTAACAGAAGCACTCACATCCAGTAGAAGACCTACATAAATTCAGTTTTCCTTGAACCTGTTTTTGCTTCTCCTTCCAGATAAGAGAAGATGTCAAATCTGGTGTTTATGTTTTAAATTTGATAGAGGAGTATGTATGCACAATGAAGGATGTCACACAACTACTAATAAGGGTTTGCTTCGTTTTTTCTTCTTGGACTGCATAGTGAGGATGCTTAAGGTGGGTTCCTAGCATTTGAGACNCGCTATCAAATTAAAACATTTTCAAATATATATTCTTTCTCCAATCTAACAAATCCACACAAATAAACAATTAAAACATAGTTAAATTTGAACACAAACTGTCTTCAAATTGAAATCACAGAGTTCAACAAAGCAAACAAAGTTCTAATCAAGAGTCTGCTTAGTGCTCATGGTGGGGCTACTCACGCCTCACAGTGGAGTCTGCTGGAGTGCTAGGTGCTGGCGAACAAAGAACGTAGCTCACAGTGTGGATGGAGTAGCTCATGGTGACTGGACAGTGGATGGAGTCAGCTTTGCTCAGTAGCTCACAGTGGGAAACTGACGAACTGTGGATGGAGTCACGGTGTGGAAGACTAGAACTGCCAGTGAACTAGAGTCTGGAACTTTGGAAGTGACAAACAAACGATTGACGAAGTGGAAGTGTAGAGATTTGAAATTTTCAGATTTGGAGAATGGAGGCAGAGAAAGACGAATGTGGATGGAGTAGCATGACTGCGTGAGGACTGATGACTGAGGAGTTAAAAAAATTTTTGCTTTTATATTTAGGGTTAAACCGGTTTAAATTTTTTTTCAAACCGAACCGGCTTTCCGGTTTTTTGAATTCCCCAAACTGAACCGGTTTGTAAAAAAACCTATTTTTTAGTTCGGTTTGGTTTTCGGATTTTTATCCCACCCCAATTACGATCCGACCCTAAATTGATTTTTTCGACCAAATTTCGATGGTTAAAATTCAATTCGACACTATCATCTGAAGCATCGTCCTCCACTTTACAAAACTCCTTTAACTCCTAAATTTGGTAGCCTTTGTTTGCTGGCCGTGACTTGCAAACATCGTTGTGATTGGGTTGATTTTTTGACAAAATTCGGGCATACTATTTAATCTGACACCACCACCTGAACCACTGGCCTTCACTCTACAAAAACCCTCTAACCTCGGCACTTGATAACCTCTCATTCACTACTGATCAAGTTAGAGATTTTGTGAATAGTTTAAAATGGTAACCCGAACCACAGAGGGCACTGATCACCGAACCAGTTTGGTCAAGTTTTCAAAACAGTGGCTAAAACAATAAACCTTGGGGGTCAACGTCTTTTTAACTCAAAAATTTAAGTAATAACATATTTTGTTCCATTTGTCTCTTTGAATCTTGCTTTTTTGAAGAATTTGGTTAGTTTTACCCTCATGAAGACATTAAAGGGAACAATATAATCTCAAAATTACAACATACTGTATATATTTGTAAACCAATTAGCTTGCTTGAAAAATCTGGAAAGGAGTTGGGCTTCTCTTTTCTTGAAGAAAATATAGAGGAGGGTTTCCATCAGCCTCTGAGGTTCCTTAGAAGATGAATAAGTGCTCAATTTGCAAGCAACTTGGCCACAAGAGAAGCAGTTGCCAGAAGTAATCACATGCAGATCCAAAAAATTAGGTTCGAAGAAGGATGAAATTCAGGGAGTTGCCAAGGCCAACCGTTGATGAGTTATTGTTTTCAATTATTGATGTTTTAAATTTTATTGTTACCTTGAGTAAATCATTCTTTATATTTAGTATTCTTATTACATGGCCTAATATTTGTTGGTGATTTTAGTTTGGAATTAGTTTGTCAAATTCAAGAGAAAGTATGGAATTAATATGTGTTGGTAATTTTAGTTTGTCAAAATTCAGGAAAAAAGATGGAAAAGTATGTATTGCCCATGATCGTTTAGGCGATCATGCACCTGGGCAGATATTGATTCTTCCCTTCACATGATCTCTTAAGCGATCTACGATCGCTTAATCGACCAAGTGAAAAAGAGAAGAATCGCTTAAGCGATATCACGGATCGCTTAAGCGATATCACGAATCGCAGATATTGATTCTGCCCATCACATGATCGCTTAAGTGATCTACGATCACTTAATCGACCAAGTGAAAAATAGAAGAATCAACCAAGTGAAAAATAGAAGAATCGCTTAAGCGATATCACGGATCGCTTAAGCAATCATGCACCTGGGCAGATATTGATTCTGCCTATCACATCTTCGCTTAAGCGACCCTGTGTAAATGAAGTTCATTTGACGATTAAACAGATTTTTTGTGCAAATGGTTTTGCAGAGTTACAACTCCATACATAAAATTGTTAGTTGTTGGTAATAAAGTATTCTTTATTGAACGAATCGTATGGAGCTGTAACTATGCAAAACTATCTGCACAAACAATCCGTTGATTAGTCTTGCAAACTTCGTTTACTCCTTAAAATAATAACTCTTTTAAAATTAGNGGAGTCGGAAAAATTTATTCTTAGCACATATACCCATGAGCACACATGTGGTTTGGGACATATTTCAGGTGAGCATTGACAAGCGTCCGCTGATGTTATTGGATAATTTGTCAAAAGTCGGTTCGTTGAAGGGAAAGGTCCATCTCCTAAAGACATTCAAAGACTTGTGCGCATAGAGTTGGGATATGCTGTTAGTTACTGGAAATGCTGGAAAGGGAGACAACATGCACAAGATTTTGTGAGGGGCATGCTGGAGCATGGGTACACAGTATTAGAATAGTACCATTATATGCTTGAGTTGACAAACCAAGGTAGCAAGACGGCTTTGAAGTGGGATAGGAATATGATGTTTAAATATTTTTTTTGTTGCTTACGATTCTGCTATAAGGGGTTTTGTAAACATGAGAAAGGTGTTGGCTGTTGATGGTTGTTTTCTAATGGGAAAGTGTGGAGGTACATTGTTGGTGGCCACCGCACAGGACAACGAGAATCACACATATCCTATTGCATGGTGTGTGGTTGACTCTGAGAATGACGAGTCGTGGACTTGGTTTTTTCTGCAATTACATACAATAGTGCCTAAAAGTGATGAGTTGTGCATAATATTCGATAGGCACAACTCTATAAAGAAGGGGATTGCCACTATTTACTGTCAAGCACATCACAGATTCTGTATGAGGCACCTTGGTGAGAACATAAAACAAAAGTTTAAGTGTGTTGGCCTCCTTCAGACATACTACATGGCTGCAAAAGCTTATCGGGTTGATGAGTTCGAGGAGCACTTCTAGCAAATCCGAATCAAGGATAAAAGAGTTGCTAAGTATCTTGAGCATGATGTTGGTTTCGAGCGATGAAGTAGAGCTTACTTTCCTGGAAGAAGGTTTGATGTCATGACCACGAATATAGCGGAGTCCATAAATTCGAAGTTGTTAATAGAAAGAGAGTTTCCAATAGTTGCACTTTTTGATGCAATCTAGAGGACATTGTCACGGTGGTTCCATGAGCGTCGTACAGAGTCAGATAATTTTACTACAACCCTTGTTCCATCAGCTGAAAAATTATTTCGAGAACGTATGGAATTGTCAAATGCACTGTTTGCCTATTCTTTTAATGCTCAAGAGTTCATTGTGCGTGGCTATGGTTCGGATGCCGTAGTTAACCTTGTTAGTAAAACTTGCAGCTATAACGTGCTTGATATTCAACATTTACCTTGTCCTCATGCACTAGCAGCACTGAAACGCCAACGGAAGCTTTTGGTTCAAGAATTTACATGGAACTTTGCTCCCCTTTCTATATGACAGATCACTACATGCTAGCTTATTCAGAAACAATATATCCAATGCCTCCAGAAGAGCAGTGGGTAGTGTCGCCAGAGTTGGCTGACATTATCATCCATTCGCCATTCAAGAAGATAGCAAAGGGGAGAAAAAGAGTTAAGCGTATTCCATCAGCCTCTGAGGTTCCCCAGAAGATGAATAAGTGCTCAATTTGCAAGCAACCTGGCCACAAGAGAAGCAGTTGCCGGAAGTAATCACATGTAGATCTAGAAATTTAGGTTCGAAGAAGGATGAAATTCAAGGAGTTGCCAAGGCCAACCGTTGATGAGTTATTGTTTTCAATTATTGATGTTTTAAATTGTATTGTTACCTTTAATAAATCATTCTTTATATTTAGTATTCTTGTTACATGTCCTAAATATTTGTTGGTGATTTTAGTTTGGAATTAGGTTGTCAAATTGAGGAGAAAGTATGGAATTAATATGTGTTGGTAATTTTAGTTTGTCAAAATTCAGGAGAAAAGCTGGAAAAGTATATATTGCCAATGATCGCTTAAGCGACTAAGTATATCGCCTAAACGACGAAGGGTTTTTCAAACCGGATCGCTTAAGCGATATCACGGATCACTTAAGCGATCGTGCACCTGGGCATATATTGATTCTGCCCATCACATGATCGCTTAATCGACCAAGTGAAAAAGACAAGAATCGTTTAAGCGATATCACGGATCGCTTAAGCGATCATGCACCTGGGCAGATTTAATTCTGCCAATCACTTGATCGCTTAATCGACCAAGTGAAAAAAAAAAAGAGAATCGCTTAAGCGATATGTACGATCGCTTAAGCGACCCTGTGTAATCGAAGTTCCTTTGACTATTAAACAGATTTTTTGTGTAAATGGTTTTGCACAGTTACAACTCCGTACATAAAATTGTTAGTTGTTGGCAATAAAGTATTCTTTATTGAACGAATCGTACGGAGCTGTAACTGTACAAAACTATCTACACAAACAATCCGTTGATTAGTCTTTCAAACTTCGTTTACTCTTTAAAATAATAACTCTTTTAAAATCAGACCGAAAAGAATCTCAAAAGAGTTTAATATTTATCAATGCTCTAACCATTTCACCATCTTCTTGTTTATTCATATCACAACTGTGAAGCCATTTTATTGCTCGAACTCTTAACATATAGGGTTTACGATTCGTTTAGTGGACCATAACCGTTATTATATTTATATTAAACATATAGTTCTTTTACGTCAGTATAAATCATAAAAGGTGTAGAATGTTTACATCCATGCTAAACATATAGGGTTTACGATTCGTTGAGTGGAACATTAGGCAATTTCAGATTGCGTAAGCAATCATGTCCTAGGCAGAATCGCTTAAGCA